AATGTCCAAAATCACATCCCAAATATTCAAATCCTCCAAACTCAATAAATACAAAATTTCAAAAAAGCATAATTTGCGTTTACAAACGCAATTGCCCATCACCAGTCTATTTAACAGCCCTCCAAAGATGAATGCACCGTTCGACAAGTTAGAATTCAATCCATTCAATTAGTTATCCATGCTACTTTCGCGAAGTTTCACTCCTTTCAGGTCCATTTGAAATGACGTGGAAGGAATGGTGCGTTGAAACTTTTTCATGGAAGAAAGAATCCTTTCGAACTTGTTCGCTTGTATAATCAATGCAAATGTGCCATAACGCAGCCATCAATTGGACAATCGAGTTTTATGAAGCTTATTTCTAACTGGCTGAACGGGAGATCCAAGTTTCTATAACTCTTGATCTTTGCGATTCTTATGTTCATTCGCACCTGATAGAGGCACTGTAAAATACTTTCATATTCACTGTTAACTTTTTATAGTCTTGTTGAAATATTTGCTGGACTTATTTTGAGGAGGAGAATATTGATTTGATGGACGTATAATATTAATCTTGTGGACGTCAATGAATATACTTGTATTCATATTACAGACAAATACGAAGGTCTTTGAGAAGTATGTTTTAAAATAAACATGTATATGACACGAAATAAGAAAGAGTATTAAACTCAACATGTACCTAAAAGTCTAAGATGTTAAGACACTTCGTCACAAGAAGCATCGTGCACCGAGCTGTAGAAATAGTATCATTTTATCACTTTCTTACAACTTGTCAGAGTATAACGATCAACAACTGCATTCTATTTATTCAAGATATCCTACGTGTCTAATTGTTAACTTCATACATTTGATTAATTAATTTGATTGCCTAAGTTCATTATTAGACACACATTGTACTGTACGAAACTGTGTGACTATTAGTATTGTTCATAGTACTATTTCTTTATTAATATTTGTAGTGTTGTACTATTTTATAGTATTCATACTATTTATTCATAGTATTATTCATTCTCGTAAAGAAAATTTTTAAATCGAAACGAGGTAACAATTAAGGACAAGAAGGAAAAAATTGTCACAATTCAGAAGGTCTTTTAAAGTCCTCTAAAATCTTGCATCTTAGCAAAGTGTTCATAAAAGTCGATTTTAGTGTTCAAAAGTATTTCCTATAATTTGACAGTAAAATCGTTGTCTAAACGAGCCAGGCGTATCGTCCTGAGCCATACAGAGTGTCTGCGTAACATTCCGCCCTACATGAACCAGGACAAGACGTCAGACACGTTAACGCTGTTGTCCCAATAACTCATGTACAGTAGCAAACCCCAGATAGATCGAAACCGGGATTAAGGAACTTTTAATTCTTTATTTCATTCGTGAAATTCGCGGAGAGTTATAAGAAAGAAACGGGTAGCCACACGGGGGCTAATCTACTTAAACGTTGAACAGGAGCTTCGGAAACGACGGTAAGTAGCTTAAGTTACTCGTGAAATCGTTTCAATCATAAGCTTTTTATATGGGATCAAAGTGAACGATTTGCAAGGACGTAGTTTGGGGAACTTCGAAATGTTCGACTGTTAAACGATGTTTTCAATATTTTTGCTTTGTTATAAATGGTTTATGACTAAGGAATTAAAAAGCTGAAACTTCTTTTGAGGGTTGTAATTAAGTAAGCTTACGATTTTAATTACTCGTTGATCATTGTGAATTAATATATCAAAATACATGTGTATATCAATATAGAGGGTATTTCACAGTTAGTGTAGGTTTCTGAAGTGGTAGCTGACGAAATTCTGAGTAAGTTTTCCCTTTGCAGAAATTAGATTTGAAGCTTCGTTTTTGAATTATTAAGGAAAAACGCGGACCAATCAGAGCGCGATTGCGCATGCGCAGACGCGAGAGCGGCAGCTTCGAACATGGCGGCTGCGCGCGCATCTCTCACGCTCCGATAGATCCGTTTTTCTTTAATAATTCAAAAACGAAGCTTCACACGTCATTTTTGCAAAGGAATATCTTATTCAGAATCACGTCAGCTATTTCAGGGACCTACATTATTTATTAAACACCCTATACTTCAGATATATTCTTGATACATTAACCATGAAGTAGACTTGGTCCACAAATTAGTTTGAAAGATATTTTACACAATTATCAAACATCTTTTAAACACCTTACAGTACAAGTACCTCGACATGAATGATTGTATACAAAATATATTGTATTCAATAGATTGTATTAAAAAATATATAACGTTTCAGAAAATTTGATCACATGTTCACCTAAAGTGTTACATGTTTCTTAATGTAACTTTAAAGACACTTTTCGATATAATTAATAATTCGAAAGCAATAGTAGTTCGCGATAAACCCTCGTGGAGAATACTTGAACGATCCTCTTCTTGTCAGCTGCACGATTCGTGAAATGCATGCAGAGAAAACAACCAGAGCCACCCTGATGGCACGCCTCAAGTAGAACGATCAAAAATCGTGACTATTGTCATCTCAACTCATCAACGTTTCATATTTTTCTTTGAAACCTTACACACGTGTATACTTTTGTACACATACGTGTATACATTCATAAATGTATACTTTTCATTCATATTGTACTGGACCTTTGATACAGTCTTAAAATGAAAGAGAAACCTTGAAGAATTTTGCATCTGACTATAAGTTTGTACAAGATATATGATATAGTAGAAATTTTTTTCCATTGTAAACTTAGTAAGTTTATTCAAAGTTAATTAATTAAAATTCTATTTATTCAAGGAGTCTAATTAATTCAAATTCTATTTATTGAAAGTATGTAAAAGAGATCGAATGTCCAGCACGATAATACACGAAAATATAAGAAACCCCCGTTCCTTTAAAATAGCAAACGTACTAAATCATCAAGCACTAGAGAAACTACCAAATCGGGGATGAAATCGAAGCCTATGAGAATCGAGCGTCAATAATCCTCTTTTGTTTCTTTCGTTGGTATATTTCCCCCCGCCCCTCATTATCACCTTTTTCAACCTGAATTGTCTTTAGTCCTCCTTCATTTTTCTCCCCTTCCCAATTCGTTCTCTTCGTCCCTCTGCAACGTCTGTGCTTCCTATGTAGGCGTATAGAAACTGTGTATGTACATAGGTGAAGAACATAGAAGCTAGAAATGCCACATGCCTGTAATCTATTTGCTAGAATGCTAGTTATCGTGTTGTCGTGTGTGAGACTGGACAATCTAAATTAAGGGGAGAGTCAATGTAATACGTGGATGAAACAAAAATCTGGTAGATGAACGTTGTAGACCAATCAATTTTTCTGTTCTTCATTTTTGAGGTAAGGCTACGGCGGGGTCTATGAATCGCGTCGTAGTGTTCCAGATCTTAGGATTTCGTGACGGAAGTCGTACATGTTTGATTATAAAGGGAGAATGAATTATAGAACGTGAGAAGATTGCCTTTCTATGCGGTACCAGTGCTGAGCTTTTAGGAATATAACAGATTATTATAGATTTCTATAAACCTATGTTATTGCATTTGTAGATACTCATATCTCAAGTTTATGTGTACCAAATTTTTATTATTTTGAATCCCTAGGTAATGTATTCCTATGTTGCAGACTTCTATGTTCACATATCTATGTTTAGATCCCATATTATTATGTTCTGAATCCACATATCCTACATCTCTATATCCCAAATCCACATATTCCAACTCCCACATATCTCAAATTCCACATACTCTAATTCCCGCATATTCTAATTTCCACATATCCAAATTTTCACATATTCCAATTCCCACATATTCCAATTCCCACATATCCCAATTTCCACATATGCCAATTCCCACATATCCCAAATTCCACATATGCCAATTCCCACATATCCCAATTTCCACATATGCCAATTCCCACATATCCCAATTTCCACATATCCCAAATCCCTATATCCCAAATCCACATATCCTAAATTCCACATACCCCGAATCCACATATCCCAAATTCCACCTACCCCAAATTCCACCTACCCCAAATCCCCATACCCGAAATTTTCACCACCTTATCACCCTGCACTCCTCATTACCCCCTAATCCAACGATAAGTGCATGTGAACACACAGACACATGACAGGATAATATACAAGGAACTCATCTTACATGAAAGCTCTAAAAAGGATTTCATGAACAGCACTATTTTGAACTACTACCACTACAACTACTTGTAAAAAGAAATAATAAAAACAATGGTCACTTTGTCTCTAAGAAATGGCACCCATAAGCGATACAAATATTCGGAATTTAACAAAAGATTCGTCGACAATCCTCTCACTCTTTCTTTTACCATAAGCGAGGAATGAGTCGTGGAAGATGGGGACTTCTTAAGCAGTTCGTTGAAATTTCAAAGTACTACTTTATACTACTGTTACGACATTCTGGTCACGGAAATCCCAATTGAGTCTGGTATCACTGACGAGTTGTGTTGATACAATATATATCAGGTGGTCAAATAACGAGCGGCCGATTTCGAGTTGTAGCTTTCGACGCGAGTCGATGACATGAAGATTGGTCAAATTAAAGATTGAAGTGGAAACTTTTTTTTTTGTTAAAAAATACTCTTTTATCGTTTATTAATAGGTATGAGATAAACATTATACTAATCACAGTGCAGGATTCTAATTTCTATAGCATTCGGAGATTAAAAATTTAGGTTGTAATTTTTGTTTAATTTCATCGGATCGCGTCGAATGTGTTAATATCAAAAAGGACAATTCGATACTCAACGACCTGATAAATACAACGAACGTGACGGAGAAAAAGGGACAAGATGCTAGCCTGCTGCCATTGCTGTTGCCGTTCTCGTATCGGGTGCTCAGGCCATTTTCTTACCGAGGCTCTAAAAAACCTACTATGGCGCCTACTTTAAATCTTGCAAGCAACAGAAAAAACAAGGAAACAGTACCGGCCAAGAGAGAAATGGCATTGCACCGCGTTAAAGATTGGTTTTGATTGGTTTTAATTGTATACTTACCATCTTGATGTCACTAATTGTCGCGATGCTTCGCACAAACAGGTTTACCCGGACAATGGCCGGCCCATCTAAGGGCAAAAACAATAGAGGCCCTTTTTAGTCAGTCAAACTTTGTCTTACAATACTCTACTGGAATAGTAATGTTTTTTTTTCTCTTTTATCGCTTCTCTCGAGCTATTACCTAAAGCTAGACCAGTGGCCGTTTGGGGATTGTTCGGGACAAAACGGGGGTGGTTGGATTCTTTTTCAAAATTGGGCATTATAAATAAAATCACTGAGTTTCTGGTGCATTATTGCACGTGGAAGTCTAGTTATTTTATTTACAATCTCTGCCCAAAATCGCTAAAGCAAGATGAAGCTTTAATGTGTCCGAATTCCACTGCTAAATCGATATTAAATAATGGAAAGCGTGAACCTGGACTAAAGTGAGTTATAAATTACTTGGAAGGGTGAATAATCGACGAGCTCTGTGCTACGTTATCGGTGTCTCTTTACGGGTTATATTTGGACAGACAACACACAAGTGAACACACATGGATCCGACCTGGTTTGCCACAAACTGGATTTGATTCTTTGGATGTGCTCTCGGAAGACGATGTTTCAAACGTTACGCGGTGTGTGTAGGTCTGGCACAACGAGAAAAGAAAAATGGTCTAAAAGCAAACTCGAAAGCTACAGGCAAAGTGCTGTGACCAAAGGGTTCAAGAGACCTGAAGAGACGTGGCAATCGGGTTTCAACGTCGATAAACACATAATATTTTCTTGTTAATTACGTGGACGAGTAGTGTTTCCCTTTTCTTCTCGTTTGTTCTTCCGACTCGACATTCTTCTACTACAACAATTTTAGGTATAAAATTCCGCAGATTAAAATTACACTGTGCTCTCCTTATATTGCCAGAAGTTTAGACCTCGTGCACGACGGATTTTCGTACGAAGATACACGAAGATCATCGAAGACGTCCACACATTGTACGAAGATGCACGAAGATCGACGAAACTCGAAACCATAGAAACTCCCATAGAAAAATATTAAATTTCGCAAACAAAAATATTGAAATACGAAATAGGCAATATAAGGAAAGTCTGCTGTAATTTTGTGTACCTAAAGTATCAAAAAGTCTATTAATTCGATCGCAGTAAGACTTAATTGGCGAAAAGAAAAAAAGAAAAGAAAGAAAAGAAAAAAAGTTTCGATTCTCATAGCGGAAGGCATCTGGTTTACGTTTCTAATCAGGAATGCCTCTGCAGTGGTAAATTAGTGTGACCCAAAAAAAATTAATGTACAAACACGTTCCCTGTTAGCTAAGAGAAAGAGCAACTGCTGAGAATGCTTGGTGTCACGAACAACATAGAGCTGCAGGCGGTACAAAGTCGACTGTAATTATCGATGATATACGTATACTTTTTTTTCCTCCCTCTCTGACCTATCAAACAATAGAAAAAAGAATTCGTGGTCCAATTTTTTTTTTTTTTTACCGGGCCGTTCAATGCCATCGTACCAATCTTCTTTCTGCATCGCGCAGAACAGACAGGTGAATCACAAATGATCTCAAAGTGATTGAACGTTCGCTTTCATTCGATGTGATCTCGTTTGTTCATTTTCTACGGAATTTCAAATCGTCCGCGATAGGCTTAATTAACGTTTCGACAAAGGACGCCGGCGGACTTTAATTTCGATTAGAAAATTGCTAGTCAAGTACGAACAACGTGAACACTATGTTGATATTACAGTTTTGGTACAAGATGTTCTTTGATAATTTTACATAAACAGAGATTTTTCATAATCTTAAATAAAAAGATTAATAGTTTGCATTATGAAATTGTAAAAAATATAGGCAAACTATAGGACAGTTTAATACTGAAATTTACTGTAAGTAGTATAGGTCGTGTATAAGTCAGACACGTCCTTTGATAATCTTAAATAAAAACAATAATAGTTTGCATTATGAAATTGTAAAAAATATAAGCAAACTATAAGACAGTTTAATGTTAAAAATATCTGTAAGTAGTATAGGTGATGTATAAGTCAGTCACGTTTCTTTATAATCTTAAATAAACAGTAATAATTTGCATAGCAATTATAGTTTGAACTAAAATAAGTATTATTAATAATATTATAAAAAATAAGCAAACTAAAACACAGAGTTTAATATTGAAATTAACTGTAAGTAGTATAGGTCACCTATAAGTCAGACGTGCTTTAAAAATCTTAAATAAACAGTAATAATTTGCATTGCAATTATATGTAGTTTGAACTAAAATAAGTATGATTAATAATACTATAAAAAATAAGTAAATCATAAGACAGTCTAATATTGAAATTAACTGTAAGTAGTATAGGTCACCTATAAGTCAGCCCCCACAATAAAAGAACAAAATTAATAAATTTTCTTAAGTTCAAATAGTAACAGAATTGTAGTAACAGAGAACAAGAAAAATTTTGCAAAAATATCCTCAAGTGGTACAAGTACGTTGTAAGTCAGACTAAATATAAGAAACTAAATCTTAAGCAGCAATGAACACGAGTCGTATACTAAAAATAAGCAAAATACACCGTTAAAACTTCGAGAATGCTCACAAAAAATCTACCTAATAAAACAAACGATGCACTAATATCGCACGCGTTCATAGAAAGACACACAAACTCGACGTAAAATTGTTCCATGTTTCGGTCAACGATTCCGAACTATCCGATAATCGTTCTACCAACTAGTTCTTTTTGTAGCTTTATCTACACGACTATTACGAAGCAACAAATAAACAAAATAAAAGAACATTTTCCGATCGAACTGGCATCCTCTTTTTCCTCGGCAAGGTAGCATCATCCCCCTCTTACCTCGATATCCCCTCTTTCCAACCCTTGCATCTTCCAGAAAACACTTTACACGCAGTCTTTTTGCAATGACCGATATTAACTATCATTCTACTCTTCTCCCTTTCAAGCGGAAGCTCATGCTGCGACGCGGTGGTTAATCATTTTTAATCGTGTCGAAATCAGACTTCAAACTCGTGAAAATTTGCTTGAATAAAAATTCTGTCGAACGTTCGAATTTTAGAAGCTCGAGAAAATTTGATATTGTCTCGAAACCCGAGTAAAAAGAAGAAATAAAATCGCGTTAAAAATACTTTGAGAACTTGAAAATGGACGTTAAAATAGTTTTGACCAGTTCGAAGTTTGATCTTGAGAGATTGCGAATGATTCTAAAATCGTCTATAAAAAAAATGTAAAGAAACTGATTAACGCGTAAAGAATTTCATCCTCCTCGAAAGATAATTTCCATCGTGTCTACAGAAGCGTTCAAGAGATCTTGAAACGACCTAGATACAAGTCATCGTCTCTTGAAATATTGTTCGGAAATTTCAACCAGCGGCAGCGAAGAAAAATCGAAGCAATATCGCAAAAGAAGAGGAACCGAGACATCCTTGTCTCGTGAAGAGATATCGTTCGATTTAAACGATCGGTATCTGTCGCGAAAATATTCGGCAAATTTCGCCGACAAATTAATTCGATCGCGAACACCTGTCCGCTCCACGAAACAAAGTGTTCTACGTTGTTTTTGCCAACGTACGTCACATCGAAACGTGCCAGATATCAATTGTCTTGAATCAGCACGCATTCTCGTCTCGGATCCGCTGCAAATGCCTGAAATTTAGCGGCACTTTGCCAATCGACCGAATACCTTCTTTCGCGCGTTTCCGAGATTTAACCCTTCTTCGGATTTCTATATTTAATTTCTGCAAAATAGGCGACATGTTTCAATTTCTATTTCATACATTAACACTAAACCTACCTGTATAATGTGTATTTAATTTGAAATTAAAAATTACGTTTTTAAACATTTTTAAAAGTGAAGTTTTTGAACATTTTCAACAATGAAGTTTTTAAAAAATAACTAAACAAACGACGAAACATTTAGTACACACATTTATTCTTTATCTTGATGAAAATCTATTCTGATTTCAAGGAATGTATTTTAACAAAATGTGTACCTTATAATATTATAAGAAACTTGTGCAACAGTTATTTGAACACTTTGGTAGTTTTAGTGTTAATGATTTGGATTCAGAAATTTACAAATTGTCCAACTTCCTCTAAGATTAAAAAACCAACCCTTAAATCCTTAAATTACCAACTTAAGTTCACAAGTGCCAGAATTCCTAGATTCTTAACTTCTCACATTCTCAAAACTACATCCACAAACCCCATAACCCTAATTTCTATATTTCTAATAATTCCCTGTTCCAAATTAATTAATTTATAAATCCCTGAATTCTTAAATGAATTAATTCTTAAATATATAAATTATTCTAATTTATATATCCTTAAATTCCCAAACTTTCAACTAAATCATCAAATTCCCAAACTTACCAGAAATTAATTTTAACTACCATAAAATTTAAATCCACTCCAAAGAAGGGTCAAACTTCCCCCGATTGATCCGTGTTTTCCATCGACAGTAAAAAAGGCAACACCACGTCAATAGCTTAATCGTCGCAATAAAGTGGTGTGATTTTCAGTCGATTTCAAAGGATTGCGAGAATCGATTCATATTCGATTCCCGATATCGGGAGATCTTGTTTAAAACAATTATCCGTACGAACGTATCTGGTGTATTTAAATAAATCTCCAGATCAATCGACCAATAGTTAAATGATTCCGAGTGTAAATGTTTCGGTCGGATTAGACTCGACGAATTTCGAGTAACGGTGAGACGCGTTGGTAATAATTGGTCGATTTGGTAAGGAAGGCTGGAAGGAATAATGGACGTAAGAAGAATATTGGTATATTCACCTGTTGCATTCTCTCCGCTGGGCCGGATACGGGCGTCGTATCGTCCTGGTCCTAAAATGTTGTCCAACACTTGCTTCTCCTTTTCCCGGAAGTTGGTCGGCGGTTTCATCGCCGATACGCATCTGAAAGCAAACGACACATTACTGAAAAATCGTTCCTTTCAAAATTAAACTTTCAAACTTAAAGATTAAAACATGTCTTAATTATGAAAAATTAAAATTAATTATAAATGAACGTACCTTGATGGATGTAGCAAGACTGTTAGTAACACCAATAACTTCAATACTCCAGGCCACATTGCGGCAGCCTGTAACGCAAAATGAAACGAACGGTTATAAAATGGCGGATAAAAATAGTTAAGCAAGGAAGAAATTTCGGGTAATGTATTCTGAGATCTCGTTGTCCGACAACGCGCGGACGTGTACTACTTGCCAATCGTCTGACCACAGGCTGACCTACTCTACTGTGGAACATAACCGGCCACAAAATTAAATCTGCTTTTATCGATTAATTATTTCTGTATCGCGCAAACATCCTCGCGAAAAATCCCGTTCGAATTAATTTTGAACGAAAATTAATTCCCCTGGCCGATCGAAGATTATCTCGAAAAAAAAGAAAGAATAAAATGATATCGGAGCTCGGAACGATAATATGGTTCTTTATCGTTCAAAGGGTTAAATGAAAATTGCGCTTCTAATGAACGCGCGAACGATTGCTAATTGGATAGCCGGATTCGATTTCTTTGATTCCGTGTAAATTAGAACGCGCGTTCGATTACCAGTGATCGATCGACGCCGCGATTCGTCCAACACAATTACCTCGATTGATAATTAACCGATGCAAGAGGCATCCAAGAGAGGATAAACCTTTCGAACGACCGTGTTAAAGTGTCCCCCTCGATACAACACCAAACAAAACAACCAAATATATCCAATTAAGATACAAATGCTTCTTCGACAATTAGAATAACGGATACACGATTAAGCATACCGTGTGACGCTTTAAACGCATAGCCTATAAGCTTTGACACTGTAAGTAGACGCTACGGATTGTGGGATCCTCGACAGTAATCGATATATCGACGGTCGATTGTTTGTATCGCTACGCATTATACCACGCGAATCAAGTATCATCATAAAAACCAGTTTACATTATTTTAAAAAATTGATATCTAATTTATAAAATCACATTTACTAAACTCTAACAGGAATACAGCTGACAAATGATTTAATTTGAATTTACACGATAAAAATATTGTATAAATGATAAATGTATATTTGCCAAACTTATCTGTCAGTCAACGAACGGATAAGTAGAACGTTCGATCGAACGGCACGATACCGTGCGTTCCATTTAATTACTGGAGATGTTAAAAGAGACAACAGGATGCGAAAGGCAAATGATTGTCGCGAACGGATAATCGTACGAATTAGGTCAGCATCGTTTTCTATACATACGTCTCTATGTATACATATACGGACGCGTGTATACGCGACGAGAAACGTGTTTGTCTTCGTTGTTTCTCGTGAACGCTTAAATTCCTTTATCAAACAAATCCTGGATATACGAAAGCGTTTTTAAGTAATTGCTTTTTCCCTCCCGCACGTAAACGCGTCCATCTGGTGTTAATTTTAATCAAGCAGAGTACGATGAGAGTTCGATCATGCAGTTCGATGGTAAAACAGACCGTTTCCCCGTGAAGCTGTCGAAAAGACGCGATGGAAAAAGAGAACAAACAGCCATCTGTTTCGTTTGTATGAAAATCCTGACATCGTGCTTGCAAATTATTTCGCGCCCATCGAAAAATTCGATGAGTACGTTATGCTTGAAGAGAGTAAATAAATTAGTTGCAATTTACGACGGTGGAGAAAAGCTGACGGTTTGCAACAACTAGGTAAGCAACATTCGTGTCGAACTCACGGGATCCATAGCTGTGTTACGCACGATCCCCACCACCAAGCTCCATCTCATTTCGCTACTCTATCCTCTGCATCCCCGTTTTTCTTTAACATTCGATCTGTTGATTTCCATCCGAACATTTTGCTCGTACAGATCTCGATGATTTTACTATCGATTATCGTTCGATTCTAGCTTAGATCCTGCTTTTATCTTCAACAGAAGCTACTCGAAATTTTCACTTTTCTCGCTGATCTAAGAGAAACCAGATTTACGTTGGTAAGGTGGTTACACGAAAAGGATAGCCTCTCCTAAATTAAATTTTCGTAGCTACATCGATGTAAACGTACTCTAACCGCATCGAATTCAAGCGTTAAAGTATCGGCTATTTAAATCACGATTAAAATGCATTTCGATTTCGAATGTGTACAATGTTTCAAGGATTTGATACGTGGGTGGTGGCTCAACCATCGACGTACGTTAACTACTCGATGCCATTTGAAATAGTTGTTGAACGTAGACTAAGAGAAGCGATTGGAAAATAAAAATAATATGTTTCGTTACCTGGAGAAGCTAATAATCCTAGGCGATGAGGGTTCCGTGATGTAGTGATACTGGCATGGCGCTCTCCGGTACGACACTGGAACTGTACTCGACTCGTGAAGTGTCCTACCTCGGAAGATTCGTCTCCTGGACTGCCACCGTTCAGAAAGTCACATACACTCACACCTACTACCTGGTTGCTGGCACGCTATTGATCCTGGCCCAGACACCCGCCGACCCACGCAGACGCTTAGCGTTGCCGCGTCGCTTTAGCAACATGACGTCATTCCACTTCCCGAACCCTATACCACACGACGACGAACCACTCCGTGCATCGTCGTCCTTTTCTTCCCTCTTTTCGTACAGGCTACCACTACTGGCGCCACCAACATTTGCTTAAAAGCGAATTGTACATTCAGGTGCAATGTAGACTTCCTTCGGATAAGCGCCATAGTAAGAGTAACCCCCCACCACTTGTCTTTTACGTTGTGAGATCATACATACATAAACTACGAATTTTCAAATTTCTAATTTTTTAATCTTTACATCTACAAATTTACGAACTGTCAATTTTTCATTTTTAAATACCTAAATATCAAATTCCTAAACTCACAAATTCGAAAAATCAAATTTGAAAATTTATCAATCAAAAATCAAAGAATACTAGGATCCTCTTCTTTAAGTTGGTTTTTTTCTAAAGCCATTTTCTAACTACAATTATATTTTATAAACTCTTTCGAATTTTGACTGTATTAAATCATCTGAGGAATCAATTTTTTTTATTGTGATTCAAGTTTGATTTTCCGTTTATTCATTTCCCTTGCTAATAAATTCACAACGGTTTCCCTATATGATATAACGACGTGTGAAAGAAACAACAAATTTTTATATTTTCCATTTTTGTCATTATTATTAATACATGATTAGATCTTATATATTATACATATTTTATATAAGATGTTAATGGACACTATTAACAACTAGTCTGACAATATTACTTTACTGAACCAAAGAAACATTTCTTTGCAAGTTCACTTTAATATAAACGCTATTATCAAATAGGAGAACAATTAAAAAAAGAATAGAATATATTACAAGAAACCCTTCATTCCTACCCTATTTTCAGGTGTTTCACGTTTTATGCCTGTACCTTCATTTACTCGTTTCATAGTTATTAAAGGCCTCAGCAAAAACTCTTCTAATGTTCTCTGAAAACAAAATACATCATGTCATTTAAAAATACATAAAACATACATTTTTATATAATCTTAATGTAACTTACCTCTCCCTCAACTCGTTGTTGTCGTTTGAGTTTCTCTATCAAAGCCAATATCTGTTCTTCTTCAGGTGAGTTACATTCCCGTAATTTTTCTTGAAGTGTGAATAACTGTAACAGAAACAAGAAAAATTACTTGAAACTAATAATTTTATGACGAAAATAAAAAAGCAGATAAAAGGATTAATTTACAAAGAATCATACACAAATTTCACTACAAACAAACTTCAGTACTAACATACACCAAGATTTGCAATAAAAAAGAATTGTTTTCATACCACATCTGCGTAGTAACCATATTTATGAGGGACCAATACTTCTTGTTCTGTTGAATACTTCAGTAAAGGGATTACCGATAAAAATTTCCCTAAATGTGCATATGCCAGAACTTTTAGACACCTAATAGACATAGCATTATTTCTGTTTACAACAGATAACATTTCTAGTGCCTCCTCAGGTGAATTGTGTTTAATTGCCAAATATGCTACCATCGAAGTTGCTCTTGCTGATGGTATCCTGATTCTGCAATGCTCTCTCCACCGTTCAATTGCGTACTGTGCTGATTCTGGGGTGTTCTATTAAAATAATTACAAATATAATTAATACAATGATTAACACATAATTACTCCAACAATATAAATAACCATTACCTCTTTCATACATGCAGCATACAGCATAATAGAATTGCTTAAAATAAATTCTGTACCCTTTTTATTTGCCATTTGCTCAATTACTTCTTTTAATTCAGTATACATCTGGTGTTTAAATAGTAAACACACTAAAACTCTAATTGCTGACTGATATGCAAAAGTATCGCCTACTTCGGGATTATTGAACATAGATAATGCAAACTTTGGTTCATTCAAGTAATAACACATTCTCATTACCACTGTACCAAAGACATATGAAGAAATTGGCTTCTCTGCCTTCAACTTAAGATATTTCACTAACATATCAGATACTAATTGCATGTCTGTATCATTTGACTGAGCTAAATGTATCATTGCTTTCAGATCTTCTGTAAAGATCATTCCGTCTTCATTCTGACAAATTTCTTTCATTTTAGCACGGAAAGTATCTTCTATTGATATGAACTGATTACGATAGAGAAATCTTGTGTTCTCGTATGATGTTATACCTAAATCTCGTTCCGTGTACAAAGACCGAAGGCCAACTACAAATTAAAAAGTATACACTAACTAATATAATCATGTATTCTTCAAATATCATTCAACATTAAATATTATTCATAAATGCCTGTTATAAAATGATACGTAAATATCGTTATGTACATGTGAATTACATTGAATATATTCGGTATAATTTCAGGTTAAAAGAATTACATACCAGTTAAAAAATTAGATTTAGAGAACACAGCTTTTGTCAAGCCAAGATTTAACTTAAAAAGTCCTCTCAAACCAACTGCCATGATTTTATAATTAAATACACGTTGTTGTTAATATAAATTATCTATTTTCGCTTCTAACGATGCGGTACAAGCCCTACACTTCTTCCGGCTCGAACGTGAAAGAACTATGCAACCTATACAGGAAGTGAACAGAAATTCTGTCACGTGATTTCCGAATTATTAGACAACGTTGATAAATATAAGTACTATATAAAATTTGATCAATACTTTCCTATTACTTTATACAGCTTCCAAATTAAAAAAAAAAATAAATCCATCTTATCACATTCATTTAAGAAATAATGCTTAAATTTATCAGTTACTAAAATAATTTCAAAAAAGGTGGTCCGCAGCTTCGGGATTTCGGAAAATTAGTTTTAAAACTTTGAAAATTCGGAACTCTTTTTAATTTTCAAGCTTTTATAATTTAAAATTTTGAAATGTCGAAGTTTTTAAATTTTAGGACTTTAGCAAAGTTTGAAAAATTTAGATTTTTATTTGACAACATATTCTACATCATACTCATAATATTCGTTAGATAAAAGAAATACATATATTCCTACTTACTTATAAACTTTATTATCGTTACGACGTGCATTGTACATAATTTACAAATACTTTTCCTGTAATTACAACAAATTTTTGTTAGGAGTCAATTTTATGAAACATTAATTTAATTTACATTCTACATTATTTATATATTACACTTATTTACTATGTTATACATTGTTTTTGTACTTAGAATTTACTTTCATTTACTTTTTATATTTTACATTAATTACAGTTTCTATTAATTCTACAAGCTATTTAACAAAATTATATGTAATAGTAGTAATTTCTAGTCATAAATTAGTAACTAAATCGAACATTAGTAATTATTTTAACGTGTTCTCTGATTTATGCAATCGTTTCTCACTTTTCTTTTTCACTTGATACTTATTCGAAAGGACCACATTACGTAAAGTTGAATGAAGAAATCTCTTATTAATACATTCCTTTGGTTTTATCCATCCACTAGGACCCATTATTTCGGCTCTTTTTGCTCCAAGTTTTGCTTCTTCCAATAATGCTTCGACTGCAAGTCTAAACATTTTAATATATTGATTAAAAATAAGGCAACACTATAAGTCCATTTTAACATTCTACATTGCTGCATATTATAAATTGTTTACTACTTATAAGAATTTGTAAAAGAAGAATATAATGAACTCACCTATTTAAAGTTTCATCATCCATTATATTCGTAATTATATTATCTACGCTTTTGCAACAATTATGTCTTTGATAAAGGAAATTAGAAACAAATAATAAATACAGCCATATATGTATTGTGTATTATCCACTAATGTTAATGTTACTTACGAAATAAAAGAAAAATAATTAGCAATAACTTAAATTTTATATACATACATTCATTCTAATAGAAACAATAAATATGTATCAAATTGAGGTTAACTTGACGTCATAAGTTCAAGCGTCTGCTCTTGCGTACTTTCGCGCGTGAACTTTATGATTTTAATTTCTTACTTTTACTTCTAATCAAAAACTATATAATTTACATTAATTGTAAATACACATCTGAAGGTATACATGTATATGTATTTAAAGATTTAAAAAAATAAAAAATTGAAATACTTGTATTTTGAGTACTAACGGAAATGTAAACAGCGGTATTATTTATAATTTAAAAGAAATTTATTTTAAATTTGATTTTGTTAGCAGTTTGGAAAAGACTTCATTTTATATTAATAATGGGAGATCCAGAGTTGATAGCATTGAAGAATTTAAGAAAGGAACTTCTTGTAAAGGCTTGTAACTTACTTGAAAAGTTAAAGAAGCAAGAGACTGGTTACAAGGATTTTGTTGTGATAGAGTTGTATCTCAATCTGTAGTGTATTCTAATATTAAACTATAAATAACACAATATGTTTATAATCTTTAATTTTATTACAGGGAACCAGATGCCATGAAGGAAAATAATGTAAAAAAAAAAGTAGAACACAATGAGCATAAAGCTTGTGAAATTTCTAGAAAAGTTTCCAATTTAACATTTGAAAATATAGATAGAAAATGGTTAAAGGATAATTCTTATAATTACACAGCCTTAGTAGCAACAAACTGTTTAAAATTTCATGTTGCATTATTAGTAACACTAGAGGTTTGCATATATACAGTTAGATACACAATAAATGTACGTAAAATAATGAAGTACCTGCCATTGTTTAATTTTATTTCAGGAAGAAGAAAAATTTGAAATTTGTGGTATAACATGTAATTATATTGACATTAGTAAATGTTATACATTAGAAATTGATCCATGGATTCAAACGATATCTGAGTTGAAGAATTTTTCGCTTCTAACATCTGGTATCCTATAAATCTTTATTTGTTATGCATAATAAAATTAAAATGTAATATTACATAATTTAATTTTAGTAATGGTACACTATAGTGAACAAAGTACATTCAGAAAGATGGTTATAAATAATTTGAAAAATGCAAAATACATAAGTGATGAACCATGTACATATAATAATGGTGGAATTTTGATATATGTTCAGTCACCTGAAAATGATGAACTAAAATATTTAAAGATTCAGTGGTCAGTAGTATTTGTAGAAGAAGTCTGGAAAATAGAACATTATTTTGTTATAAATGCTCTAGAAGCAGGTAATAAATATAACCATAGAAGATGAATTGTTAAATGGTATAAAGTTATAATATCAATTACTTTTAGGTCATACCTTTGCAAAAGAAAAAGTGGAATTACTAAAAGCGCTTTGTAAACCAAAGCACACACAACAGAATCTCATTAATCTATGGGAAAGATTATGTTCTGCTGTTAATTTATATGAAGGTAGAGACGAAAATCAAACGAATATTATTTCTAAATAATCTGTATAAATGTATATTCATTATTATAAAAAATTATAATAAATATGTTTTGGATATATTTGTACTATTTTATTTTTAGTACTACATGTGTACCAGTAAAAGTACATAGTTTTAGCGATTAGACTAACATTGTTGCACAAAGTATTAATGTATGTATGTATATTAATTTATTAATCTAATATAAAATATTTGTGCTTACACTACGAAATGTTATCAGACTTTGTAATATCATAGGTTATGTTTAGAATAATAGAATCAGTCGAATTATACTCCTACATGATATTATTCCTCTAAAACATTAATATTAAATGATATTTCATGACTTTTACAAATTTTATAATTCATTATTTTACCAGCACCTATATGTACGCAGTTAAGAAACTGCAAACTACAACTCCCCAGTGGCGCAATTGGTTAGCGCACGGTACTTATAAGACAGTAATCGAGTGAGCAATGCCGGGGTTGTGAGTTCGAGCCTCACCTGGGGAAGTTTTTTTTTTTCACCTTTACGCTTCAAAAATATATTGATACTTATACCAATTGAAACATATATTCTAAAAAATTTGCGAAATGAATGAAAATTGATAATCACATACATGTTAGAAATTATACTATACATCTACTTTACAATACATTTTAAAAGAAACTTCTTTTCTATCAGCAGAATATAGATATTGTATATGCTTTACAATCATGTATTAATATAACACAGAATCAGTTGATTATTTTGTTTTTACATTTTGTACAAATTTTATTTAAATGCATACATTCTCTACAAACTAGTAGTTAAATATAAATAAAATTGTCTATACAGGTTAGCCTTCAGATTCTGCTACTGCATTTTTGATCATATCAGATTCTGCAGATGCTTTCCTTCGATTTCTCCATGCTTGAAGATAAGTAGTTGGATGTATTGGAAAGAATCCGGCAATTCCTAATAATCGAGCTAATGGTCTTGATACTTCTGCTCCCATTCCCACCCAATATTGTATACGTTCAAGATTCAAAGCAGTTATTCTTTCGTTATATTTATTTGGAAGAGGATCATAACTACCCAACTGTTCTATTGGAGGCTTATGCTGCCCATGTTTTACCTAAAAATGAGTTTAATTATGTTTACATATATTGCAATGTAATTGAAAATCAATATATTTAACTTAATCTTTAAAAATATTGGTAATAGGGTTTTGTAAAAAATATTTACATAGACTTACATTCATAACAACAATGTGGTAAAATGGTCTATTAGCACACCCGTAACGAACAAATCGTATACACTTAGGAAAACGTGTATGAATACCAGTCCCAGATGATGGATGCAACGGTAATCGAGGCATTTTGTTTAAATATCTTGAAATTAATATAAATAATTATTTTCTTTTCGTAAGCTCCAGTTATACTACATTAAACTGAAAACGCTGAAACGATTGACATATTGAAAATTATATGAATTACACTATTATTAATTACCTTCGTATAAGCAACTAAAGTAAAAACATCGCATCTATTTCATTATTTTTTTATTCCACTATTATAAATTACAACATAAATTATTTAATCTGTATAGGTTGGAAACTCCTCGCGTGCATTAGCACTTGCGCCATCTACTGACAATCTGCGCTTCGTTTCATTTCTTCTCGTGAAATGAGAAGAGGTAATAATATAAGAAACACATAAAATAAAAAATCACCAGATATGGAAGTTCAGTGTTATGATTGTTGCAAGGGCATCTGCATTTTACTCTCAAATACGAAGTATGTAGCCAATCAGATGCAACATGTGCAGAATGAACGAAAACTCGTCATTCGACAATAATATTCTTTCATGAGTTGAACTATATACGAATATATACGTCTTCTAATATTTTCGAACTGATTTATTTGGTTAAGATGATCGTTTTTTTACACAATTATTTATTGAAAAGGGTTTTCCGAATATTAAATTTGTTGTAGTTGTTTTTACAATAATTTAAAATATAAATATCAAAACAGGACGTGAGGCAGCAGTTCATAGCGTATACATAAAGTGAAACGCATCCCTAAAAAGGTTTTGACAGTTCATGGTTACGGACGTTTGTGAAGTTTGGTTAAATTAAAGAATTTTAATAAAACGGGCATGGAAAATACTTCAAATAAGGTATTACATTTCATCCTTAAGTAAAAAAAAATCGTGGGCGTTAACTTAATCAAATGAATTTATAGGAAGAACAAAACCAGGATGATTCAGATTCTGAAATACATGAAGTAGAACCAAGGCTGAAATATGTTAGGATGCGAAATGCTTTGGAGCATATATTGCAAAATGATGCAGCCAGTTGCATTGCAGTGCATCCCAAGGTGTGAAATATAATTACCTAATATTTGCACAAATTTTTTGGTGAAGCTGATTCAATGCTTTCACACTATGGAGGTTAAGCCACTTTCTTTAGATATATAATAACAGTTTTAGTACTTCCCAAGTATATATAATTGAAATCAGGAATTTGATTGTGTTCAATAAATTGCTTATATTACAGTATTTAATATTATAGCAATTAAATTTTGGTTTAGTTTCTATGTTTAGGCTCTCATTGGGGCATGATACACCTTTTAGACCATCAAGGAAATAATATTGAGTCTAAAAGTCTACAAGCACATACAGTTGCTGTCAATCAGATTTCTATAGATTATAATGGAGATTTCATTGCATCTTGCAGTGATGATGGAAAAGTTTTTATATATGGTCTTTATAGTACTGAAAACAACCATAATATAAATATGGGTAGATTAGTTAAAAGTGTAGCTATAGATCCAAATTATTATAAAAGTGGTAGTGGAAGAAGATTTATTACAGGTAAATTATTTTGATGTATATATTCTTGAATCTGTTCAAAGATTAAATTAATTATGTTCAATTAATATCATTGTTTTTAGGAGACGATAAATTGGCTTTGTATGAAAAAACTTTTTTGTCCAGAATGAAAGTAACTGTATTATGTGAAGCAGAAGGTGGAGTACGATCAGTGGCATGGATTGGACATTTTGTAGCTTGGGCATCTGATACTGGTGTTAGGGTTTATGATTTAAATGCTAGATGTTCCCTAGGTCTCATTAAATGGTCTAGGTCTGCTGAGTGAGTAAAAGAATAGTACTTAAAATTTATGTAAAATGTTAGAAGCTTTCAAGAGTGGAATAATCCTTAATTAGATAATTCTATTTTAGTGCATTACCAGAACATTACCGGTGTAATCTTCGATGGTCAGATGATAGAACATTATTAATTGGTTGGGTTGATATAGTACGTATCTGTCAAATTAGAAAACGATCAATACAAGAGATGGTTAATAGAGATTTACCAGAATACGTAGTAGATCCAGGTATAAATTTTGCTTGTAATCAAATATTTATTAATAAATTTGTCTAAAAAAGGTAGGAATATGATAAATAATAATGTTTTAATTTTAGTTTCAACGTTCCAAGTGGATTTTTACATTTCTGGTATTGCTCCTTTAGAAAATCAATTAGTATTATTAGGCTGTTTGAAGGAATTAGATGAAAATGGAAAGAGTCAACGACCAACGTTACACGTTGTTGAACCAAAATATCAGGATTTTTCTGTTGTTTGTGCAAGTTCTCTTACACTTCGTGGCTACAAGGAATATAGTTGTAATGATTATCATTTAGACTGTTTGAAAGAAGAAAACAGGTATTTTATTTATACTAACTAATTTTATTATATTCAAAATGGTCTTATTTCTGTATATTTGTATTTAGGTTTTTTATTGTAAGTCCAAAGGATATTGTTGTAGCTAGTTTATATGACGTTGATGACAGAATTGAATGGCTCTTAAGTCATGGAAAATTTGAACAAGCATTAGAAGCAGTAACAATAAATGATGGACAAGATTGTAAAAAATACACTTTAGTTAACGTCGGCCGTGTATATTTAGATCATTTACTAGCTTGTGGAAAATATGATGAAGCAGGGAAATTGTGTTTGAAAATTTTAGGAAAGGATAAAAAATTGTGGGAAGAAGAAGTTAATATTATTCTTTAAACTAACTAAAAAATGATGTTCGATCCTAGTTCGAATTATTATATGGTTTCGTTACAGGTATATAAATTTGCAAGAGTTCATCAATTACGATCAATTTCATCTTATCTTCCAAGAGGTGATGTGACGTTGGATCCGTTAATTTACGAAATGGTTTTGTACGAATATTTGAAAATGGATCCTGACGGATTTCTTCAACTAGTCAAAGAATGGCCCCCCAAATTATATAAAGTTACAGCTGTTGTGAATGGAGTTCTAGAGCACCTTTTACTCCATAATCAACGGCAAAACGTGCTTTTAGAAGCTTTAGCCATTTTATATATTCACGATGGAAAATACGATAAAGCATTGGCTATGTATTTAAAGCTAAGACACAAAGATGTGTTTCAGCTTATTCAAAAATATCAATTGTACAATACTGTTTACGACATGATAGAAGGTTTAATGGACTTAGATGCAGAACGTGCTATACAATTTTTTTTAGAGAAAGACAACGTGCCATCTGATATCGTTGTACAAAAGTTGCAGCATAATCATCGGTATTTATATTTGGTAAGATATAACAAATTCCCGAAAATAAATGCGATAATTCATGTTTTTAAATAATTATGCTTGAAAAATTATTTGCATCAGTATTTAGATGCATTGGATAAAAAGAATACGAAAGATTCAAAAGGCAAATATCATGGATTACTAGTCCGACTATATGCTGATTACTCTCGAGATAAATTATTACCACTTTTACGTCGTTCCGATAACTATCCAATTCAACAAGCGTTAGATATTTGCAGTCAGCGACAATTTTATCCGGAAATGGTATATTTGCTTGGTAGAATTGGAAATACTTCTGAAGCTTTAGCACTTATGACGAGAGAATTAAATGATATAGAAAGTGCGATCGCATTCTGTCAAGAACACGATGATGAAGAATTGTGGACCGATTTGATTAATTATTCTTTAGATAAGCCCAGTAAGTAGTAAAAACTATATGTACATTTAGAATCATACTGAATTAAACTACTCTTTATCAGAGGCCATCACATTTCTTCTTCAAAAAATTGGTACATACGTCGATCCTAGACTTATGGTACAAAAGATAAACCCAACTTTAGAAATTCCTGGATTGAAGAAAGCTTTAGTTAAAATGATGTGTGATTATAATCTTCAAGTTTCAGTACAAGAAGGTTGCAAAAAAATTTTATCTATCGATTATTTTAATTTACACGAAAGATTGGTTAAGTGCCATACAAAAGGAATATTTATAGATGGTTGGTACGAAAACCTTATAAATGAAAATACTATAAAGTTGTATTTGTGACATTCTACCTCTTGATTATATACTTTGTTTTATTAGATGATCAAATGTGTGGAGCTTGCCATAGGAAAATAATTGTAAGAGGTATCTAATAAAGTAACATAAATATATTTAAATTTAATACTAGCTTTATTTTGATTATGCTATTTGTTATAGAACCGAGGAATTTAGTCGTATTTTATTGTAAACATTCATTTCACGAAGATTGTTTACCCAACTTGGAAGTAGTGGTATGTAATTTAGTCACAAATAATATAAAAAATATATTATATCTTTAACATATTTTAATTTTATTTTTTAGGAAAATTGTGTTATATGTAACTCGCAAAAGGATATATCATTGAGTAACAAATGATACAGGTAAAATTTAAAATAGTTATTAAATATTTGTGAAAATCTTATTCATTTCTATATCTGCATTTCAACGTTTTAATTTTTGTAATATTTGATCAATGGCAGAGCATTTTGTACATATATTAAATGTTCTAAGACATCCAGGACATTTGGGATAAGTCTAAAATTTTAAGTAATATGAATTACAATATAAAGTTTTAACATAAATATTAATAAAATCATACTTGATAACTGTCGCGGATATTTATAGTAGTTTTACAGCGACCACAAGTTTCTTTTTGTTCTGGCAGAGTATCATCAATATTTTGTTCCTTTGTACTTATTTTATTTAGTGCATCATCTATTTCTTCTACATGAATTATACTGTTATTCGAACTTTGTGCGAAGTCATCTGAGTTCTAAAATTAATATTCATTTTAATTATTAATTTACTTTAGATTTAAAAAATACTTACTGTCGCTTCGTGGTATTCTCCTATAGATTCAGAAGAAGATTTTTCTATCACATTGCAATGTATGAAAAATCCACAAATGTTACATACAGTAGTACTTGATTTTTTTTCCACCAGCTGTGATTGTACACAAATGTCATTTTTCTTAAATGTACTGGTCTCCCAAGTTTTAGGATTTTTAGAAAATGCTTTGAAATGTTGAATCGTGAAGTCTATCACATTTTTAGGCTTTACTGTGGAGACCAGTAAAATTTAAAAAATATTAATGTACTGTTGTAAAATAGAAATACATTTAAATACATAATGTGACCTGTCTAAGAAGAATCGATACAATGTTATTCCAGTTGTAAAACTGATTACCAACTAGCAATGTTTCAACATAATCTGCTATTAGTTGTTTTACTTCTGGATGATCAACTAGATAATCCCTTTGTTCCGCAATTTTGGAAAACTATGAATAATATAAATTTTTATCTCAACAAATTACTGTGTAACGAAAATATTTGATACTGCACTTTACTTTCTTATCTAGATATTTAGAAAACATTTCAATATCTTCTGTCCAACGATCTCTTAATGGTGCCTCTACTTTTATTGTTTTCTGTGGAATCTTTGGATCAGCTAATGGATTAATTTTCAAGACATATGGAACATTCAACCAATTATGCCGAATTATTCGACCTTTTGGTGTTAAATAAGTTTTTATAGAATACTCAGTTCCGTCTTGTTTGCATATTTTACGTTCAATCGTGTAAATGTCTAAAAAATGACCATCTATGACCGTTTGTTCTGCGGGTGTACATATCTGTTGAAAAATATTTGATTATTTACATTCGTTAATATTACTTTACATGTCCTTACATAATTAGACATTGCAATATCTCCTTCTATGGTAATGCTTTCAAAAGATAATATTCCTTCATAATTTATAAGTGCCAAATAACGCATAAGTAGTACATTGACTCCTTCGCTTATTAGTCTATCAGTGGAAGCAAAGGTTAAATTTCTAGTTTCTGTAGACTTATCACAAGGACAAATGCGTGTCAGTTTCATGTAATAGTTATTGTCTTCAATACCTATAAAAACCGCTTTTTCGTGCAGTCCATTGTCATAAACAAATCTGTAATTACTTAACATTAGTATTATTTCCACAAATTTAAACGTGTGTACAACCATGAACTAACTCTGTCCTTTTTTCTTCCAGGCAATGGAATTTTGATGTTGCTGAACTAATAACTTTTGACCCACCGAAATGACCATCAATAGACATAGAAGATTGCACATGTATTAAAAATTCACGAGCCTGAGGCCCAATGGTTTCTACTAGAATACAATAACCGCCTATTGGCTTTGTATCTATTTCAGGTTCATTTTTTAAACAGATTATTAATGTCTCTCGAAAACATAAAGCTGCTCGTTTCACATCGTCTGAAGTACAAAAAGAAACGGGAATTTACGATATGTATCATATTTTTTTTAAAGAAAAATCCACTGTTAAACAGTGAGAAATATAAAGGCAGGCAATAGTGCTACATTCCAAATATACCTGATTTCATTAGCGACGAATAAATTTACGTATTTGTATATTATATATTTTTCTATATTAGATTTTATTGCGCGTCATTTCTGTGGATATTTTGTTTGTTTTATTTATACAATATCTTTATTCGTTGTTAAAGAAATTTAGTTGAAACAAATTATGAGGATAAGATGTTAAATGAATATTTTTTATCTAAGAAATTTTTATCAATTTTTATTATCGTTGAATCATTGTTTTATTTGAAACTAACCAATTTTGAATACATAACTTGCTGTACATATTAATTCATACATTAAAACTTTGGGTTAAAATTATTATAAAATAAAAGAAATAGTACTTATGTGCAATGAACCCTTGTCAGTCGAAGAATTTTGTTATAAATTTACATGTTAGTATGTACAGTAAGACCTTCATAGAATTACTGAATACCAAATATTCTGTATTTTGTACAACCACGTGCCATTATTGTATAAAACAATTTTAGTATGTTTTGTAGTACATAAGATATTTTTATCAGTACACAAATTCATTCATAATATTACAATTACACCTGGGGACTTTCACCTAGGATTCCATGTAAATATTGCTCCTAAGTTACAGCATAAAATAACAACATGTAAAATATAATTAATATATAAATTTTTCACGACTCTGTACGTTTGATAAGTCATAGGGTTTTCTTCGTGGTAATGCTTACGATTAAAATATGTTTTGTCTATACCAGTGAAGATTATTTGACATACTTTTTTCAGATAAAAAATAACGAATAGATTACCTATTAAAAATCCAGGGATCCACTTTTGAACATCAAGCAATTTACAGAAAATTTCTTTTTCTTTTGACATCACAGCTAATTTCTGTAATTCAACAAAGAGAAGTTAGCTTCTTTGCAAAGTTATTTATATAAAATGCAATCGTATTAATATTATCCATGTATTATTAGTAGCGAAATGACGAGACGATTAGATATTCATGTCTGTGAGTTACCAAAAACATCAGATAGTAATTTACCAAAATTGCCGCCAAATGCAAAATTTTATTCTCATTGGAGGCGGAATTTTCAAAAGCTTTTTCTTGTGTCCGTAAAACATCCGTTAACACGAAACTTTTTACGTAGTTATGCAGCGATTGCTTTTGAAAAAAGAAAGCACGGCCGTTCTTCGTTTTGGTGGGTAATTCATCCCTGTAGTGATCTAAGGTAATCTTCCTTCACCAATAAATTGGTGCCAAATAAAAAAAGATCATACACATTTAAAGTTCTACATATTTGTCTTGTATTTAGGTATTATTGGGATCTTTTAATGACATTCGTTTTCATGTACACCTTCATATCGATACCGTACATAGTAGCCTTTCATAGAGTGGCTAAAAGTGCTGATACAGAAAGTTGGAATCCTGTATATCCTGCATATGTTATTTGTATAGTTGATATATTCTTGAATTTTCTAACTGGATTCAGTTCACCAGATGGACATGAAATCTTTTTGGATCCATTTTTGATAACGCGGTAATTTATTAATTTCCTTTTCTACAATTATTTTTAATATCAACATTATTCATTTTTTATACAGAAATTACATGAAGGGATATTTTTTCATTGATTTTGTGTCTTCAATTCCATACACATGGTTTCATGAATATCGTCTACTACCTCCAGGTTCTAATCCTAATTCCATCTTATTAATCCCTGAACTTTTACCTCTTCTGAAGATTTTTCGTATTTATACGTTACGTTTTTATATTGGCCAAATAATTGCAGTAAGGAAAACATAAAAAAATATTGGAAAATATGTATAGAAAAGTAAGGGAATCTTTTCTTCTAGAGTTTCACAGTTTCTCATGCTCAAGAAAAGACTATTTGGCTAGTACTCTTGACAATGTTTTCTTTCCACTGGTGTAGCTGCATAAGTCATATGTTTCCGTTTCTTATTGCATACATATATGAAGAAACCATAGAGGTACTTATTCTTGTTCAGTTTTATCATTTGAAATAAAATACAATGTGATGAATATTTTAGGATTCAGGAATGTATTTCTATACTACCGGATTATATAAGAAATCTGATTCTGATATTTATTTAATATATTTTCATATTGGAATAAGTAATTTTTTTGGATCTAGTTTCGTCGAATTCGACTCATTAGGATCACCTGATATAGTGATACGTTGTATATTGCTACTATTTGGAAAAGCATATACAATTTATTTAATGGGTAATTCTTTTGCTGTCAATTTTCTTGCATTCTTTAGGAGCCATTATTTCGAATTGCCTCTTATGTTACAGTCATAGTATTGCAATTGGTCGAATCAGCTGTAGAACCAGAGTTAAAATATCAAAGAATTATGCATCAGGTGAAGGAATATATTCATGAGAAGAAGTTACCGGATAATCTCAAGCGTAAACTGATCGACTATTACGTGTTTCGCTTCCAAGGGAGCTTTTTTAAAGAACATGCAATATCCAGCACTTTATCAAGTTAACACCTATATATATATCAAAAATTTTTTATAAACTATTTTTGTATATTTGTATCATTTCTTATCTATCTGTTTAGATCATTTAAACCAAGAAATCATAATACATAGTAGTCGTGGACTGTTAGATACAGCTACTATTTTACATTATTTGCCGCGTAATGTTATTGGAAGTTTGATGGGTAAGGCATTCGAGAAAAAATGTTTTGATGATTTCCTTTTATAGCTAGAAACGTTTCTAGGAATTCTAACTCCGGTTATTTATCTCAATGAAGATGTTATTTATAAATGTGAAACTGAAGGTGATTGTATGTATTTTGTAGTTAGCGGTACTGTTGCTCTTCTTACATTTGACGGACAAGAAGTATGTTAATATAAATAAATCAATAAATTTTTCTCGACATCGAAAAAGATAAATGTATCTTATTTTTTCGAGGTATGTCATGAGAAAGATGGAGGCTACTTTGGTGAAGCTGCTTTAATTTTTCCGGACCGGAAAAGATTAGTATCTGTAATTGCTCTGGAAATATGCGAATTGTTATGTTTGACTCGTCGTGATTTTAAACGTATGTTTTCTTTGACATCAACTTTTTATAAACGATTAGAAAAAGTTGCTAAGGAAAGGTATGAGCAAATTACTCAGTTGAGTCATAGTGAAGAGCAACCCGTTGTGACAAAATCAGGTGCTGATGAAATTTTAACAGGGACTGAAAGTAATCGATATAAACGTCTTGAATCTCCCATTAATAATGAAAATGTTAATCCAAATAATAATAAAGCAAATTGAAATTGTAGCGTTTTGTAAAGTTTTATAAGATTTGACTGTTTTACATAATCATGATTCAGATCCACCTATCATTATGATTCTGTGCATGCGATTTACCAGCTGTTTCCGGCTTTACAAATTTCGCAGATTCAAATCAGGATTGTGTAATATGTATAGAATTAAATATTTATATTAATTTATATAATCTCAAATAATTAGTCGAATTGTTTCATAAAATATTGTTTATTATATTTTCAAGTTTAAACTTTTCAAGTTTAAGCGTAACACTAATAGGTTAAGTCTATAGATTTGACGTGACTGACTATACACGTGATACTGACACGTGTTTCGTTCTTTTGTTTTTTAAAAAATTAATACTATAATTCATCGTATTGTAGTTTCTAACAATATGATTCATTGTCCTTTATACAGAATACAAAACGACATGGTTGAATTAAAGTGGGAAGAAAAATATGTACTCATTACCAGAAATTTGGCTGAATGGCTTGGTGATGAAAAACTCAAAAGTATTTTAAAACAACGGGACCTTAAGCTCTATTGGGGTACTGCTACAACTGGTAAACCACATATTGGTTACTTTACACCTATGTCCAAAATAGCAGACTTCTTGAGAGCTGGAACAGAGGTTACAATATTGTTTGCTGATCTACATGCATATTTGGATAATATGAAAGCACCTTGGGAACTTCTGGAGCTTCGTACTCAATACTATGAAGCAGTTATTAAAGCAATGCTTAAATCTATAGATGTACCTTTGGATAAATTGAAGTTTGTTAAAGGAACAGATTATCAATTATCTAAGTAAGTAATTAGCTGTAAATACAGAAATAATTGCAGACATATATTCTATATATACTTTTTTTTTAGAGAGTATACGTTAGATGTGTATCGCTTAAGCTCTGTAGTTACTGAGCATGATGCTAAGAAAGCAGGTGCTGAGGTAGTTAAACAAGTTGCAAATCCTTTGCTTTCTGGACTTATGTATCCAGGATTACAAGCTTTGGATGAGCAATACCTTCAAGTTGATGCTCAGTTTGGTGGTGTAGATCAAAGAAAGATATTTACTTTTTCTGAAAAATATTTACCAATGCTTGGATATGAAAAACGTATTCATTTAATGAATCCAATGAGTATGTATACAGTATAGAAATATTGGATGTAAAACATATCCTTTAAAAGCAAAATTATCTAATGCAAAATATTGTTTTAGTTCCTGGATTAGCAGGATCAAAAATGTCTTCATCTGAAGAAGATTCTAAGATTGATCTTTTGGACAATGCTGCTGCAGTTAAAAAAAAATTAAAAAAAGCTTTTTGTGAACCTGGTAATGTTACAGACAATGGAGTTCTTTCATTTGTTAAATATGTAGTATATCCACTGCTAAAGGAAGGAAGATGTTTTAATATACAAAGAGCTGCTGAATTTGGTATGTTTATACTGGATTCATCTTATTATATAATTTTAGTAACAAAAATGACATATTTCCAGGTGGAGATATATCATTTCATAACTATGATGATTTAGAAAATGCATTTGCTAAGGAAGAAATACATCCTGGGGATCTGAAAAGTGCAGTTGAAGCTTATATTAATGTACTATTGGATCCAATTAGGAAAGAGTTTGAAGATCCAAAACTAAAAACTTTAGCCAACAAAGCATATCCTCCACAAAAACCAAGTAATGCCTGATATACAAGATAACAAAATTACATATGTCACAATTTCAAATAACAATGTAAAATTTGTGTTAAATATTTAGAAGTTGTGGAGGAATTAACACCAGCTAGATTAGACATCAGGGTTGGAAAAATAGTTGAAGTATCTAAACATCCTGATGCTGATTCACTTTATGTAGAGAAAATAGATGTCGGAGATGCGACTGGGCCTCGTACAATAGTCAGTGGACTTGTGAATTATGTACCATTAGAAGAAATGAAAGACAGAATGGTAGTTATACTTGCAAACTTGAAACCGGCAACGCTCAGAGGTGTTCAATCTCATGGAATGGTTTTATGTGCATCAGTGTATGTTTCAATTATTTTTTAATTACATCATACAATTTTTATCAATTACATAATTACTATTCAAATAGAGATGAACCTACCCGTCGAGTTGAACCTTTAAGACCTCCTCCAGATAGTAAACCAGGTGATAAAGTAGTTGTGGACGGATATGAAGACGGAACATCAGATGATATATTAAATCCAAAAAAGAAAGTGTGGGAAAAATTACAGGTATGTTTGTTACATTTTATATGACAAAATAAGAACAACCCATAATTTATTACAACTTTTCATACAGGTTGACCTTGTAGTAAATGGTAGTGGAGAAGCATCTTGGTGTGGTAATCTCTTACTTACTGCAGCTGGTGGTAAAATTGTTGCTGACACTCTTAAGAACGTGGCAATTAAATAATATGCTTTAGGTATTTAGCTGTTCCACTAATTTTATTCTTTACTGTATAAAATTATATCAAATCTTGATGGAATCGAGAAATGCTTAATATTTAAAACTGCCATTTCTTTTTTATTTAATTATTAGCATTACAATTTTGTATTTTTCAAATATGAATGTACGACACAAAAATAGATAGAAAACGCATTTACAAAAAGTTTTATGATTGAGAAGATATTCATCCTGCTTTTAGTAATTTATAACATAGTGTTCATTAAATCGTAGTTATAATACCAATTTAAACTGAATTAGAATTTAAATTTGTTTTTACAATAGTTGATGAAATATGTGGTATTACGTTTCTTGCATTATTGTTCACTTGTAAACAAGGTGATCGTGGTCTTAAACATTGAAAATTTTCTGGTTCTAATTGTGAAACACTATATCTGATATTTGATGCTTCTTTTTACAAATAAGCCAGGATGTAGCGGGGCACAATGTTAATCCCTTTGTCAATGAACTACTGCTACAACCATACAACAAAGGATTTATTGCTGCATTAAACAGCACCAGGTATTTACTAACATATCTGTAACAGGAATTATTTTAGTAGGATTGTGTGTCGCCCTTTAAAAAATGTTTGGATCTCGTTAATACTTGATAATATCAACTTCTCGTCAGTTTTCTGGAACAATTGAAGATAATCGCAGGTCGTAATTGATTGCACTAAAATTAAAAACAGTATACTGGAAGTTTAGCAATAATTAGAAGAGTTTAATTTATGTGCAGCAGATGATACATTGGCATTAAGAGCAAGTCTGTTTGCTTAGCTCTTTACGGAAATTTAAAATACAAATTATTGGTTTTAAATAATTGTTAAATTCTAGAAAAAGTGTTTCATTTTTTATGAATAATGATAATAAATTTGAATTATCTAAATAGAATTTTAATATTTAGTTACATTTGATCTAATTGTAGAAGTGTACATACGAGCACACGTACATTCTGTGCAGTAAATTACGTGCGATCTTCTTTCTTTTATAAATTTTGTCTCGTTTCTCAACAGGTATATGAATTTGGCACATTAAAGTAAAAATATTTTTACACTCATTCTGTTATACTCTATTATAATTTGTACTTGATAAATTACTTTCTAATCAGTCATATTCTGAATAATCCAAATAAATACTATTTTTTATTTAATTATTAAACAGTAAAGTGTAGTCTTTCTATTTTGCATGAGAAATATAATAAAGATATGACTTCTAGATTAAGTATGCGAATTACATATTAATGTTAATAGCAACAATTATCGATAATTAGAATTATCGATTTTTTTACAGAATGGTTAGCACTGCATTGATGCTTACATCTACATTGTTTTATTATAATTTGTAATCATTACCAGAACTTAAATTATTACTAAAAGTAATCTTTGTTTCTCATTAGAATTTTTTTTTGTTATACGTAAAATAAAATATTAAACAAGACATTAGGAAAGGTTTGAATGACCAAAAATTACAACATAGTTGTAATCAACAACACAACTCAATTGTTAAAACAATTTATGGAATTAAATATGATAGGTTGTTTACTTCAATATATTAAACAAACACGATAAAACTAGTCTTTCATAATACAATTACTATTCGTACGTAACATTACCTATCCACACATTGCCAATGAGGATATACAAAATTTATCATACGTTATTTACAAACACTATCATTTCTAGTCACAGCAGTTCTTATCAGAATATTATTTTTCCGTAAAAACTAAAATTTCTTACTATTCAATGCATGAATAGAAATGTTGCTGATAGTCTTTGAACACTACGTAAAATAGAAGCCTATTTGCCATTTTTTTTGCCGCTTGGGTGAACAATGTTGAAATACAATTTATAACAAACATCTGACTAGCTTTTATAGTCTCATTCTGTATCGTCAGCTTCTGAAGATTGTGCAACGGGTAAAGGTGATGGTATAACTAACTCATCGTCTTCAACTTCTTCTTCCGCGAGTAAGAACTCTTCTCCCTCATGAATTTCTTCTTCTCTTGCTGGTTCTGGTGGTGTCAACACATCTTGACCGTGTTGTTTCAAGTGGTCTTTTAACGCGAATGCTCTACCATACGATGCACCGCATATGTAACAGCTGAACTTCAAATTGTTGTCTTTTTTATGAGTTTGTATATGAGCACGTGCAGCATACAAAGAAGCAAATGGTCGGGAACATTCGGTGCAACGGAACGGTTTAGTATGACTGTTCTTGTGTCCCGCAAGTTGAACACGTGTTTTAAACGTTTTTGGACAATATGGACATGTATAAGCACGTTCTTCTCCATGTGTAAGCAAGTGATGATTATAAACGGAAGAAGCTTTAAATCTTTTACCACAATGTTGACATCCATATGGTCTTACGCCAGTATGAGTTCTCATATGCAATGTTAAACAATAAGAGACGCGGAACGTTTTACCGCAAACCTGTTATGCAAAATGATTTCTTAATAAAAGCTAGATCTCTATAATTTTAATAATATTTTTGTTATATTTACTTCGCAGGCATGTGGTTTTTCTCCGGTGTGGATACGCTCGTGTTTCACTTTCTCGTGAGGTCTTGTAAATCTTCGACCACAGTGTTGACATTGATACGGTTTTTGATTTTCGGTAGGTTCGGTTGTTGTAGTTTCTACTGCAGGTGGTGTCGGTGAATGTGGCTGACTAAGTTCCGTGTGTACTGCGGCATGCATTGCTAAACTATCAGCAGAATCAAATTTTCTATTGCAAACTGTACAAGTTACAGAATCACCAGAGTGCAATGCCATGTGTGCTTCTTTATACGATTCTGCTAATGTTTTACCTGTACATAAGAAATATAAATTATTGAAGTATAAATTAATAAAATGAAATGAATATTTAACGAAGATAAATAAAATAGTACCACACTCCGGACACGTAAATGTTGCACTAGCTGTTCCTTCGGGTGCATCGACATGTCTTGCTCTGACGGGAGCATGCATTCGAGAATGTAAACGCAAACTTTTATGCGAACAAAATTCTGTACCACAAGTTTCACAAATAAAGGTTTTTTGATTTGGATCAGGTTCACCTTCATGTACCTTTGCGTGTAATTGTAGTGCTTTAGGCGTTGCAAACGTTTGATCACAACTATCACAACGATTATTGCCATGGAGACACGCATGGACTCGAAAGTTTCCTAATTTAGAGAATTGTTGAAGGCACTGATTACATCTGTACATTCTTACTGGAGTGGCTTCCAATCTCTTTTCACGTACCTATAAAAAATAATTTCGAATTAGGCTGACTTATTATAATTTTTGAGAAGTAGTTCTTCATACTTTTACTCCTTCCACATTGGAAAAAAATTTTTCAATCATAGGTGCCTTAGCAGATTGATTCGATGTTTGAGCTGGAGTTCTATCCCAGAACCTTTCTATTTGTACTACTTTTCTTGTATATAATCTTCCTTCACTGTCCACACACTCCTCAGTACGAAGCGTATTCATACTTTGTCTCTGCCGAGTATTTGTCACGCTTCCTGAATCTGAAGGTAAGGTACTAGCTGCAGGTACTGTTGGTATATCATCTAATTGATCAGCTATTTCAAGTAGTACTTCTTGTCCATCATGAAACTGTTTTATGTGTTCCACAACAGAATTAAAACTCATGTCACAACTAGTGCAACTATAAACTGCTTCTGGTTCAATCTGAAAAGTTAAATATATTGTTATAGCATCTCTGTATTTATTACAATTTTAGTTATACTTAGAATTAAATAATTCTCTTTGTCTATACCTCACAAAGCTCTTGTTTAACATGTAGTAATCCATCCTCATCTAGTTCACCTACATCATTTATATGATCCATATTTATCAGAGCTTCAGTATCTCCATCAAGTAGTTCAGAGCCATCAGGTAAAATAGTAATCATATTTTTGTTTTTGCCTTTATCATCTGTTTTTGAAGCAGAAATTGTCACTAGTTGATCCTGGGATAAAGACTTTTCTTTCACTTCCTTAGTAGCAGTTGTAATAGGAACTTTTTCCGTCATCTTAAACTCCAAAGAATTTTGCTCCATTTCTACCTCTTCAGTTTCCATTTTTTCTACGACTTTGATCTCTCCTGATATTTTTGTTAGAAGTAATGGTCAAATAAATAGAATTAATATATGGTAAGTTAGAATTTCTACACACCATTTTCATCAACTTGTATAGTTTGAGGTCCACCAACTATCATGATTCCACTATCATTTACTGTTGCCAAGAAGCTTTGATCTATTCCTTCAACATTTGTATCCTAAAATTAAAATTATTAAGCAAGAACTAAAATAAATGTAAGTAGATACATTTTTATTGGTGCCAACCATTAGCACCTCTGTGTCCGGTTCAGATTCATGCTGAATCTCTCGTTCGGGTTCATGCTTAGTGTCACACATCTCATCCAGTTCAGTGTTCTGTCCACACCGATCCAAATGCTGAATAAGTGCCATTACCGAGTCGGATCGCTGCGAACAACCAGGACAGTATAGGTTGTCCGTCATGCTTAATAAATGGTACTTTAACGACTGTGGATTATTAAACGTTTCGCCACAGCACATTGGGCAAACGAGGTTCAACGATCCCATATTTTTGATTTTGACGCTGACCTCGTAAAGGGTCTTTGATGACCTTAAATTGACTCTATATTCTAATATTAACCTAACTTAAATTTATTATGTTCACCTACGCAAGTATTAATTCAAAAACCGAACCGGCTTCCCGACAAGAACCTAACCTGACGATGAATTACAAAAATCAGTAAAAAGGTCTAAATGCGTCCAGACATGGAACAATGTCATATTGTTACTTTCGAAGAGTCGAGTATTTTTAAAGAACGTTTGCTTATTCGTAACTGATTACGTTACACAAAATTAAACAGCACCTTCTTGTAATAACTGCAATAACAAAACTCATTAGAGACGAACTTCAGCGCAAACAAATGCCGCACACAACAATCATGAAGTTAGGGATGTGATAAGTGAATCGCGAAGTCGGCCATTACATGCGAGTTTTGCTATATAACTATCGAAGTCATATTCGAAATGTATAATTTACTACTTGACAATTATTTTATCACGATACTAATCAGTACAATCTTATCTTACCTTGTTTTATGAGCACATTAAATTATCTTGAATTAAAATGTGTCTACCGATACGCTTGGCAGCAGTTGAAAACAAATTAGATGCTCAATTGACAAAAGGCGCGCGTTATGTTCAGATTTTTGTTTGAACAAACTTCATAACAGATAATTAGATACATTTAACTGAAGTATGTTCAGATACAGATTAATTTTTATTATTAGATCAATTATTAAAGTTGTATCAATTTGATTATTTAATAAATGTAAAGAATATAGAAAGTAACGTAATAAAAGAATTTGAAAAATATAAGTAGGGGATGATTGAAAGGAATGATTTTTCAAATAATAATATATAATATATTACTTATTTGTCAACATATATTTACATTGTCTTAATTGCCTTAATTAACAGTTACCACAAATATTATCACGCAACTTAATAGTTTTGTAATACCATAAGTCATTTCATACCATGCTTTTGTACATGGGAAGCAATAGTTACTTCTAATGCTTTAATCAGCATGTTCATGTTGGGCATTGCTTTCACGCCACGTATTCTGAACTAGTTCCACAAATTGTTGCCACCATCTACTCTGTGAGGTAAAGTACAAAGCACACGCAGCAATGAAGACCCATGAAAGGACTAGACAGTAGTCAGTTTCATTAGAAGGTACACTAGAAACAGGTCCAAGAAAATCCATCGATGTAACATATAATGATCCATTCGGTTTTAAATTAGTTGCTTGAATTATAAATCTTGCAAAAAATTCTAACGTGTAGACAGTGTGATTAAATTTTACTACAGGCTTTCCATTGTGAACAAGCATTAACGTAGGAACTCCAACAATTCCATATTGAGCATTGAAGCTAAAACAACAAAGTGCATAAAACTATGTTGTTTAAATTAATAATCTAAGTAATAATTTAAGAATTATGTGGCATTACTTTTGATATTTTATAGCATCAATTGCTACTGCTTTGATATGTGGGAATGAACGTGGTAGCGCATTAAAGTGTGGTGCAGCTTGACTACTGAATATACACCATCTTGCATAAAATAATACTATAACGCATGTTCCTGGTAACATTCTACCTTCTTTATCGTTTCTGCTTCTGTTTGATGGTCCAGGTTCTAAGATTAATAATTTCATTAGCCTGGTAGCATTGACAATCTGCAATAATAAATGTTTGTAACTAGTTTTTTACAGTTCATGAATTAATTATCAAAATATTTGAACATCTTACTTCTACAGGTCCATAGACTGTATCTGTCAAGCAATTAACTTTAGTTACATTAGAGGTAGAATTATTTGTCGTAACATTTAATTCGATAGTTTTATTCTCTTCTTCCAGCTTTCCTTCTGGTAAATCAAGTTCAGGCCCTGGTTCCGAATTTTTGAAAGGAATTGCTTGTATCACTTCACATTCATCCATTCGTCCAAGGACATTTATCATTTGAACTGAATAAATGAAAAATGATTCATTTTCATGTCTCATTATCGAAATACAAAAAATATTAATGCCTCACCTAAAATTATGATAAATAAACACAAATTCCTTCTAGAAGCATACATTTTATGTGTATAACCTAAAAATATGTGTTCAGGTTTCCGTCCGAAATTTTGGAATAAGCGTATTAAATTCACAAGTAATTTAAACGATTTTGCGTAAACGCACGATATTTAACGAACAGTCATAGTTAAAAAGTAGTTTCCAGCATGACGCCTGTGACAAACAAATTTAAGCATTATTTTTATTTTCATTCTCTATATAAATATGTATTGAAGAAACAAGATTCACTGTAATTCACTGTAATCGATTGTTTGAGGTCGCGTCGATCGCGTATCTCGCAAATCGATTTATCCTTTCAACCGTCAATTTAATCGCAATTACTTTCCAATGGAGTGAAGAATATTTCAAGTGAAACAACTTTGCCAATTTTCTTCCTATTTTATTGTTAATATCAATTTAAAACGCTTGGGAGAAAAAGAGTTACATCTATCTCGGAGTCATACCCAATAACATAGTGTGATATTACGATTAACGACTTTTTGCAGTTATCATCAAGAACAACAGGATCTTTTCTATCAAAAAAATCTGTTTCGTTTAATAATGTAATTAACAATTTCTATATTAGTATATATTGATACTTTCCTCAACTTATGCCGTTATAAAAATGATTACAGTAAAGTCAGAAGATTATGCAGATTTTTTTAAGCGATGCTGCGTAAACTTATCTACAAGATCTCGAGATCATTGTTACCGATTCATTTGCGAATTATGAAATATTTAATTTATAGCGTAGATCTCACGTGATGTTGCGATTAAGCTTAGTACTTTTGAGTGAATTCCACGTATCGCCGGAAGAAGAAGGAAAGGAAGACTTCAGAGTAGGAGTCACCGCGCGTATCCAGCCACTTTCATTGTTATTCGATCTGCCTTACACCAAAGGTGCAACCTAAGTACTCTCATCTTTAGAAGAATCAACAGTTTCCATATTGACTTTTCCATCTTCTGGAAAATTTGTAGTCGTATCTTTTGTCTTTAGTAAGTACAAAAAAAAATCACAATTTCTTATCCTCACCACGTATTCATGATAGAAGCGCTTTCGATTTACCGCTAGAAAATAAAAACTGTACATCTTTATTTATGTATACAGTAGATTATCGTCATGTTAATGTATTAGATTGAACACTTTTTTTTTTTCTTTATGCACTATATAACGTGTGACGAATATAATGTATTAATGCAATGCACGGCAATTTAACGCTCAGTACTCAATAAAATATTTACGATGGCATTCGGCGATCTTTAAGCACCTGCTTAGAGGGGGAGTAGTGGGGGAGCGTCACTAGTGTGCGAGTCCATATAAAACTGGCAATATAACGAAAGTCTACTGTACTCTACTGTCTAAATAATTTTAATTATACAATTATGGCTTTAAGCTCATCACATTAATATAAAGTAGAGTAGCAGTTTGCATTACTACTTTCACTTTTTTAAATGTAATAGCTTGTTTATTTTTTTTTCTAATTGCAGCTAAAAAGAGGTACGATTTCTAATAGTCGCGTGGGTCATCCGGTATATAGTAAATGCGTTAATCTCAGCGTGGAAAGATCGAGAAAAGAGAGATTTATATTCGAAAGAGATAAGAGAAATACAATAATTCTGTTGGGAAAAATTGCAAAATCGACATCGTGGTAGCGAGTTAACGGAGCGCGAAAGCAGCAGATGAAATCAACATTGAGTCGCGCATTAGCATACAAAAATAGTGGAGTTGGCCTTATTCGTTTGTTACGACCGAGATTCATACGTTCTACTGAAACAATAAGATTTCGTGTCAGACGTTGTAAAAAAAAAACGTTGCGTGTATCTGAATGGAACATTATGGTACACGTATGTACCTACAACGGCGTTCCAGTATCGACCAATTAGGAAATTGAGAAACTTACATTGCATCTCCCGCTGGGAAATCGTATTGTTTTTCTCATTGTAACGTTGTCCATTTGTTACAGCATTCAAGAACAAAATTTCTTCGAGAAAAAAACAATTGATTTGCTGAGTAAAAACTATCGCTCCCACACAAAGTTATGTATGATCGATAAATATAACTTATATAAGGAAAAGAATTGAATAGTTCCCAAAGATAAGAATAGGAAGTTTGTTGAATCGAGAAATAACAATAGAGGCAGGTAGCTCGAGTTGAACAAACTGTCCGAATTATGCTTCCCGGTTTTCACCCGATTGTCGCTGAAACAGAGACGGAAGGAAGACGTATTCATGCTCTGTTTCAGCGGTTCGAATTCGCTGAGTTTCTACAGGATATACCTGTGGCGATATTTTAATGTTACCATCACGCGTGCACGTATGCGGTTTCTTGCATTCTGCAAATCTTGAAAGTGTCATTGCAACTGTGTTCATAACTGAAACATAAGGACCAATGACTTAGCTACCTCTTTTCTATAAACGCGTTAAAAGTTTGAGATTCGAGAGGTCATTCTTCCATTGCAGTTCCATTGAATTAATTTTATTTTCAATTAATAAGAAGAGAATGCCAATTACTTCTTGATTTATCTAATTAATTTTAATCAAATTATATACCGCTTTTTAATCATTGTTTCTATTGACTTACCTTTTAATTATTGGTGCAGATGATGACCTTCCAACTACCAATAATTTTGTTGCTGGCGTTTTCGTGGATCATTCCTGCTCGCACAACCATTGGCGATTGGGAAGCTTGTGGCGGAAGATTAGAGCGTGCTCTGGATACACTTCACAAAGATTCTAGCAGAAGAAACAGACTGAAAGAAGAGGAGGCTGATTTGTTTTATCAACAAGAACTTCGTTCTGCTCCACTCGAGATGTCAGTTTCCCGGATTACCGTTAAAGTAATGTTTATTGCATGAATTCTATGAAAAACCAAACTTTAGGAGGACATGTTTCGTTAAAGATGGGTTCATTCACACACTAATTTTTGTTCGATTTCATTTCAGTTGCCACAAGGCGCCAGAGATGTTGGGAATCAATGGGCACGGGTAGAAAAATGTGTTTACGAGCCCAACAACAATTCTCTTCAAACTCGAGTGATGTTCAACGACTTATCTGTCACTGGTTTGGTATCATTGATGCCACGGGATCATCAGCCACCGATATTAGCGGAATCTTGTAGAATGACTCTGAGATTAAGACGCGCAGGGGTTGATTTCTTGACCAGCCCGATTGCTCGTGGCAGAGGGCAAATGCGTATTCGAACCGAATCTAGCTTTCTGGAACCAAGATTCGCCTCCATTTACGCTTACGGTTGTCATCCTACGCGTTTAGACAAACAGATCAAAAGGCAGGATAAGTGGCCTCCGCTCCATCCACCTCGAGATGAGGTACATGCGCAATGATATTCTTTTTTCTTAGTAATTTAAGTATACCTTGAGATGTCTGAAATAGGAAATAGATTGTAATGTAACAAAATATCTTCCACAGTACACGCTGCTGCCTGTAACACATGGGGACGAGTATGAGGCAGCAGAACCACGGCAATTGATAGGTGTTTCAAAGGAAGTGGATGTCGTCATCCCAAACGAAACTCGTCAGTCTCGCTTCCTTAGTTCACCCGTTGCAAAACTAGGTATCTGGAGAAAGAACGTTTGGCTCACTAAGCCTTCGTCGCAGGAAAGGGAAGCCCTCGCAGAGTCCAGCGTTCTGAAAAATGCTCCCTTGAGCATTCTTCGGTTTCCAGGATCTTTCGAAAGTAGTCAGGAAGCTAGCGATCGTTCCATAAGAATCTTAAGATCGGTGGAGACGATTGCCTCTCACGATTTTGCAAGTTCGTTGACCAAGAGGCCTACGGACAACGAAAGTGGCAATTGCACCGCACGAGCGAATAACTTAAATAACGTAACCGAGATATCTTTGAAGAATTTGAACGATAGCGAGACAAAGTCGAACTTTAAGAGAGAGAACACGTATCCATTTACGCGAAACGATGATCCAAAAGAAACCAGACACGTGTACGTCGATGAAGCATTGGATAATATCTTTCCGGTCGATATAGAAAATGATAGCAGAAGTTGGCAGTCTAAAGAACACATTGCCAGAGAAATGGAAGATGTATTTCTTCGCGGTGCCAGCCAAGCTTTGACCAGATATATCGAGAAACAATTACATCCCGCCATTAAGGAAACATTGATGATTTCTATGGGATATACCATTAGTTACGGATAACACACTTGTCTTTTTACACTTGTTAGCAATTTTTAGGAGCGTGATTTTAATTCTAGCACATGATAAAGAAACCGAGGAAATCTAAGGACAATTAGAGTTACAATTTTGTCATTGATGTCTAGTCTTATCCTAATAAAATTGGAATTAAAATTTATTTGGACATTCATGGAACAATGTAATTTAAACTGCGTATTGTACCAGTATACCTCTTCACATATTCTACTATCCTGCTACCAGGAGTATTCTCCGGAAGCGCCGACTCATACAATCCATCCCCACCACACTAACCTGGGTATTGATTGATCATTTAAAACTGTGGGCGACGAATCTTATGGTCATTCCACCTCGTCTACTTATCGCGCATACTACACTGCAGACCCTAGCTACTCATCACGGTAGAATAACAAGATAGACCAGCAGGAAAATATTATTTACAATGCATGTAACATAATTGTAAAAATACTGTGTAAATCTTGTATTAATCAATAAAATATTTCTTATTTTTCAAACATTCGCTTTGTATATTTTATTGCAACCTTAAACATTTAATTCCCAAATCCATTCCAAACATTCCTGGAAATGACGTCACAAAAATACCGAGAAATAGCATTCATGCCACCTCCTCAAAACTTATGTTCTCCTGATACAAATTCTAAAAATCGGTCGGTGGATTTTCAAAAATCCCGCCCGGGAATTCTTGGAATTTGACGTCA